CTCTTTCCTTCCCTTGCCCTCTTTCTAAAAATAAATAAATAAACTTTTTAAAAAGAGTAAAAAATAAATAAACAAAAGTAAAAAATGTCAACAATGTTAAGTAGCCATCACATTTGTGTATATATTGAAAAATCTGTATTAGTTAAACAGGTTAAATGACAAGGAATTCATGTTAGGTACATTGATAGCTATTCCCTGTGGCATTTTCTGTTTTAAGATTTTATTTATTTTGAGAGAATGATGGGGCAGGTGGGAGAAAGAGAAGGGGAGAAACATCAATGTGTGGTTGCCTCTTGCATGCCCCCAAGTGGGGACCTGGACCACAATCCAGGTCTGTGCTCTGACTGGAAATCAAACTGGGAGACTTTCGGTTTGCAGGCCAGTGCTCAATCCACTGAACCACACAAGTCAGGGCCATTTTCTAATATACATATCTTATTATTAACATGCCACAAAGTCAACAACTGTTATGTAGAAATTAAATTAAAAAATAATTTAATTCATTATTTTAGGTTCCATTCATTCAGGCACAGGCACATCTTCTCTACTTGCAAAACAAAAACTCTTGGGTCTCTGGAATTTAGAGAAAAATGTTCTTATTTCATGAATTCTGATAAATGGAACATTTTGCCATTTATGCTTCATATATCAGTTTTACTCTGTACTTCCCTTTCAGTAAACAAGTTGCACTTAAAATTGTCATTAAATGAAGTGATTGTCTACTGAGAATTTATTCCACTGGGTACAGAGATCAGGTGCCCTTAGTTTTTGTGTTTCAAAGCTGTTGCTTAGTTTAGGAATAAGAAAATGTTATTGTTTTGGATATACTATATGACCAACAGTGTGTGCTCTTTGTGTATAAACAGAAGTTCTGACCCTACATACATCTTGCTGCTTGACTCTGATGCTTTAGCTTAGAATTCAGAGCCTTTATTAATATATAACTTGTATACAGTGTCCCCTGTAATGCATAGTTCAAAACATAAAGGGTCCCCACCTTTAGCATAAATAATATACAAAGAGAAAGCATGTTAGGTTCCCAGTAAGAATGGCAGAAAAGTCTTCTGAGGTAAAGAAAGTTGTTGTCAGCAGTGTGGAATGTTCTAGTCCAGCAGCTGCCGATTTTCCCGTAGGGAAAACCTGGCTGGTGATATCACTCAGGCAAGTGAGTCATCAGGGCAGTGGGAACTTATCTGTCTGCTCCTCAACTGACCCACACCTTTCCTGGTGGTGACTGTAAGCTCTTTTGGTTACAACTAATGAACTCTCCCAGACCTTTATCAGCTCAAGGTTTCTCTTTTGACTTGGGACAGAAATAAGTGTGGGGAAGATTTGGGGTGATTTGTCGCAGTGTTTCTACACTGTAACTACAGTCTTTGGAGGTTTCTGAGGGAGCACTTCATCATGTCATGTCCTGACAATCCACTTTCTATGTAAATGAGTAAAAGAAAGCAAATTCTCTTTAAGGAGAAATTCCAGCACCATTTGTTGAGAAGACTGTACTTTCCTTATTAAATTTTCTTTTTTAAAGTAATTTTTTAAATGTATTTATTTATCTTTAGAGGGGAAGGGAAGGAGAAAGGGAGAGAAACATCAATGTATGGTTGCCCTTTGCACATCCCTTGCTGGGAACTGGCCTGCAGGGAACCAGCCTTCAAACCAGGCATGTACCCTGACTGGGAATTGAACAGCGATTGTCTGGTTCGCAGGCCCGAGCTCAATCCACTGAGCTATACCAGCCAGGGCCTTTTTTAAAGTAATTTTATTTATTGCTTTGAAAAAGATGGAAACATTGACTAAATTATGCATTAACTGGCTGACTCTTGTATACGTCCTGAGCAGGGATCACACCCACAACCTTGGGGTATCAGGGCGACACTCTAACCACCTGGGCTACCCAGCCAGGGGCCCTCACTGAATTTTCTGGACATCCTTGTCAAATACCAAATGACCCTGGGACTCTAACTTACTCCACTGGTCTACATGTGTATTTAGGCCAGTACACATCTTGATTACTGTAGCTTTGTAGTAAATTTTGAAATCCACAAGTGTTCATCTTCCAACATCATTTTTCAAGATCATTTTGGCTATTCTGGTTCTCTCACATTTCCATATGAATTGTAGGATGGTTTTGTCAGTTTCTACAAAGAAGCAAGCTGGGATTCTCCTAAATCTTTAGTTTTCAACAATGTTTAGTGGTTTTAAGTCTGTCTTGTGATTCTTTTGTGAAATTAGTTACCAAGTACTTTATTCTTTAAATGCTATTATAAATGGAAGTGCTTTGTTCCTTTAAAATTTTGTGCATGTGAATACAGTGCTCACTCTAAACTTGACCAAGGTCAGATTCCCAGGAAACAGGCTCTAATACAGGGATTCCCTTCCAGAAGTGTACTGTGGAATGCTCTTGGCAACATTACTGAGAAAGTGAAGGAAACAGAATTAAGTGGAGGGACTGAACTGCGATGCAGTGTTACACAGAAAAAGTTGGAGCTGGAAAAGCCATTTGTTTGTCCCAAATTAAGGCAAAGGACGCACCAGTCACTGAAGGTATGCGGCCCCCGAAAGGGGTGCAACCACAGACAAGGTGGCTCCTTTGGGCCAAGCACAGTTGTTGGGAAGACAGCATCGATCAGCCATCAGTCAGCATGCTCAGGAGCTCAGTGATTTTACTGCCTCTGTCCTGAAATGGTCTTCAGAACCACACAGCTCAGCTTACACGGTACCAGTGGTTCTCAGACTTGAGTGCCCCTGCAGTCTCCCGACACAGCCTAGGGCTGGGCCTAGGGTTAGAATCTGCCATTTCTAACCAGTTCAAGGTGAGGCTGATGCTGCCGGGCCAGGAAGCACACACTGGGTGAAACTTGGCAGAGTTGCACACTTTGCTAGTGTGTGGCAGTGTATCATGTATGAGTGCTCATGCCCAAACCCTGTTAGATGGTGCCTCTTCAGAACACACTGCCTTCTTAGAAAGCCCAAGATAGACCCTTCTCACTAACACACGTGGTCAACAGACAGTTTCTGCTTACAGAGGCCAGTAAATTTCCAGCCATGCTTCTCCAGTCTGTGGGCTTCAGTTCACCTCTCCATGCTTAGACACACACGTCTGTGAAGCAGCTACTTTGTGTATGATGAAAGCATTCATTTCAACCTGACTGCATGTCCATCTGAACCTCAGCCACGGACACGAAGCCAAAGGGTGAGGAGCAGTAAGAAGGAGTTTCCTACAGGAAGGAAGCTCACACTCACCAGACGTTCCCACCTGCAGCGCCGAGCTGAGTGCTCTCTCTGCGCATCACGGAAATCTGTTAACAGGCAGTGCTTATTCTGGTGGACAAGTGGCCCGCCAGGCCCGGGGGTACTGAGCACTCACTCACCCAGGCAGGCCCACACCTCCCCAGTGAAAGGGTGTGGACCCATCCCGGCGCCTTAAAAAACAACTGTTAACTCCTTCCTCTGGTCTGCCAGGAGATACTGACCGACATTCAGCTCTGGTTAGAGCAAGGCTGACACACCCACGTGAGAGCTGCGATGGCCCACCAGTGAGGACGTCCGGAACGCCATGGGGGGGGGGATTAAAAGCCAGCCCGAGGGCAACTGAGAGGGGTTCGTTTCCAGTGAAAGCAGAAGCACTAGCAGCAAAACACTGGGAGGCCGCAGGGGCCAGAGCTTCTTCCGCCAAGCACAGGACTTGCACTTTGTCCCAGCAAAGAGTGGGTTCGGGAAAACAAACTAAGTCTTGCATTTACAACGAGCGCGGGGCGCACTGAAGGGAAAAGGGGCTCCTCCTGCCTCAGTGGACACGGCGAAAGCTAAGCTAACACCGGCTCAAGGGAGTGAGCGCCCGTGGGGGGAGAGGTCGCTGTCGCTTCAGGGGCTTTGCTGCACGGGCTCCTCCGGGAGCCCCGCCACCCCCCCCACCCCCATCACGTCCCCTCTGCTTCTGTCTGCATCCCGTACGCGTGTCTGCCGACACCTGCACACGGGCCAGACCGCTCAGACCGCTCCACCAACGCCGCTGGCGCTAGAGAGCCCCAGCTACGTCGCGGTCCGTTAACACCTCAGTCTCCCTCTAGATTTCGCTCCACGCCTCCGAATCCCTGACATCCCTTCTCACCTCAGCCCTCGTCTCCTCCGACTCGTTACCTTTCCTCCTGTTACAAGGTCATTCACACTTGGTGACACTTTTAAAATGTCAGCCTGGAGACCTCCGCGTGGGAGGTGGACCCCACTCTGGACCGCCTGGCGTGGCAAGGGAGAAACACCATGTAAACACGCATCGGCTCGCGGCCGCAGCGGGTGAGACGCGACCCAAGAAGCCGGCACCAGGTCGGCCCGGGGGAACCGTGAGCAGACACACCTGCCCTCCGTTCGTCTCTCAGCGCCTTAGCGGCCGCTTTCGAACGCCTCCGCCTTCCGCCTGGTGTCCACAGGTATCTTAACGCAGGCGGGAAGGCGACCTGGCGTCAGCCGACCTGGCGTCAGCACCCTCCACCACGCGAGTACCACTACACTAACAGGCCTAAGGGTCTGAAAACGCGCGGGGAGGAGCTACAGTACGACCACTCTCTTCCAAATAGTTCTGAGAAGCCAGACAGACAGCACCAGGAACGCGCGGGAAAACCTCCACCACCTCCAGTCTCATCCTATTGGCGAGTCTGCCTAACGTTACTGGAGACCCACCACCCTTACTCGCGGGCAATGTTCTCATTGGCTGACGTCCGCAAGCTTTCCGCCCTCACTGGTCCGTCCCTCCGTTTGTCAGACTCCGTCGCGGACATAGGCGGAGAGCGGCGCATGGCCCGCCCCCGCCTGCGCATTGGTGCGTCACTGTTGAGACTGGAGACCCCGCCCCCCGTGCCGTGTGCAAAAACAAACAGCCGTTAGGGAGGAGGAGCTGGGGGGGGGGTGGGCCTAACTAGAAGGAGACACACGATTGGGCAGCCGCCGGGGTTCAAACTAGCAAGGCGAGCGGCCATTGGCCGGAGCTCCGCGAGGCGGGCCCCGGTTATTGTCCGGCGACGGAGGTGGCGGCGGCGGTCGGTGCTGCGGCGGCAGCGGCTCGGCGGGAGTGAGGGCGGGAGCGGCCGAGACGATGGTGAGGACGACGTGACAGCGTCTGGGCGGGCAGGCGGCGGCGGGCGGGCCGAGGTCTGGCGGCCAGACCTGCACCTCCTTCGACAGAGTCTGAGTGCTAAGTGGTGCTTCTTTTGGCCGGGACGCTACACTCGGTGGGGAGGAGCGGGTCCCTAAATCGTGAGGCTGTGCGGCGCTGGTGCCGAAGCCTTTCCGCGGGCGGGCGAGGCGCAGTTGGTCGCCCAGCCCTGCCGGTGTTCTCCGTGATCACGAGCGCACTCGCGACGTGCTGCAAACCGGTGTCGCTTTACCGGCAGCTAAAAATACCGGAGGCACCGAGTTGTCATCCAGGCCCTTAGGATTTTAAACTTGAGCGGAAGTTAGCCTGGCCCGTTAGAGCACCGCGCTAGTGCCCTGAACGAAGTGCGCTCCTGCTCTGCTGCAGGTGTGTTTCCTAACGAACGCCTGAGCCTGGATTTGTCTTGACACGGTTCTTGGAGTAAAAAACGTACATTTGCTTGTGTTTTGTTTCTCAGTCGATCGCCATATATATATTCAAATTAGTATACAGAGAGTTCGAGGGAGTTATGAAAAGAAACTAATTATTTTCTGTATTGGTGATACCACAGAAGTTTGACTTTGTTAAGTATCCAAACCGAGTTTGTATTCTCCAAACCTTGGAAATAGTCATTTAATGTATTGCGATTTCTAAAAACTGATTTTGTGTCTGCTGTCTCAAAAAGCAAATGGATAAAACTAATTTGATGGATTAAAACAGCAAGGATAAAATTGTTTAAGAAAACTGGGCAGCCTGCAGTGTTTGGCAGTTGGTGGCATTTAGTTAGTAGTAGTTCTTAGTTCATAATTCATAGAGATACAGTGATTAGCAGATCAGACCATGCACTAGTTGAGAGGTTTTCAAGTGTTTTATACCAGAGGAAACAGCTGAAAGATGTCTATCAGTAATAAGTGAGTATTGTTACTTGTCCTGATCTCAGAAATTTAAAAAATTATGCAATTTTTTGTAGAGAAATATGGTCAGAAATTATTAAAATATTTGAGGCATCCTCCAGAAATCTAAAGATCTTCTAATCTCAGTTAAATCAGTCTCTTGCTAAATTGTTAAATATGAGAAAGTGGTATGAACTAGTTCTTAGACTTTCTTCTGATATCTGCCACAGCTTTTGTTCTTTAACGTATAGTTTTCAGAGATAGACATGAACTGAGACATGCACTTAGCAGGACTGTACATTGTTGGGTTTTCTTAATTTTTTTTGTTTTCATTTTAAAGACAAGAGAGGGAGAGCAGCGTGGATTTGCCGCTCCACTCCTGTGTGTATTCATTGGTTGATTCCTCTATGTGCCCTGACCCGTGATCCATCCCTCTGGTGATCTTGGCTATCAGCCAAATGAGCCCCCCCCCCACCCCCGCCAGGCCCTCACAGTTGATTTTTTGCTCGAAACTTTTTAGGGAAAGCATTACTAAGGGGAAATGCCATTTCAGTGCTTACTCTCTACTTCAAAAATATAGACCCTCAAACAGGTAGCCAATCTTGTAAACTTATTTCTTCTTTTAACAGTTTCTTTGGTTTTGGGTTGTGGATTCTTTTGCCTTTGTAGTGAAGAAATAATCAATTTAAATGGTAAAATTAAACAGAAGGAACATGAGCTTCCCTCTTGTCAGATCGTTAGTATTTCTTCCCCAGGGACAAGTAATTTTTCTAACTTACTATGTGACCTTCTAGAATGTATGTGTACACACACTGTAATATTCCATTTCTACATAAACAAGTTCATTTCACTTGCAAATATCTTTTTCATAAAGAAATGTTTTCTGTGTTGCTGGTTATCAGCACACAAATGTACCATTTGTTAAAATGGTTCTGCCACTTAATTTTTAGAAGATTTTATTAATTTACTTTTAGAGAGAGGGGAAGGGAGGGAGAAAGAGAGGGAGAGAAACATCAATGTGTGGTTGCCTCTCACACATCTCCTGCTGGGGACATGGCCTGCAACTCAGGCATGTTCCCTGACTGGGAATCAAACTGGTGACCTTTCAGTTTGCAGGCTGGCCCTCGATGTCCTGAGCCACACCAACTAGATATTTTTAACTAAAGTAAAACTAGAAAGCATTTTGCTTCCTGAATATTTTTGAAATAGCATCTTCATCTGGAGCCTTTTTTCATATAGGCTGGAGGCAAAGCTGGAAAGGACAGTGGGAAGGCCAAGGCTAAGGCAGTGTCTCGTTCACAGAGAGCTGGGCTACAGGTAATGTATCAATGATGTTGTCATTCATTATTAAATTCCTTTTTTTACTGTTGTAAAGAAGGTTCACAACCCATAGATGTTTCATTAATTACAAAAATTTAGTAGTGATCATTAGTGATGAGGTTAATTGGTCAAAATTTAAATCATAAAGCAATTGTCTTTTAATTTGTATTCTCTTCTACCAAACAAGAACAAGTTATGAGAGGTCTTAATTGGTAATTTTGTTGTCTTAAAATCTCTTGTTTCTAGATTATAGTTATGTTCCTGATTCTTTTACAGATTATATCATTGAAATGAATTATGCTGTGGTTTTTCTTTTGAAGAAGGCATTTGTAGTGGTGCATTAACTTTCAGAATGAGATAAAATTTTTGGTAGAAGAACGAGTTATCTGTTAGTCCTGTGAATATTTCCCCAGTAGATTTAGTTTTAGACTAAGTGATGTTCTGGATGAGTAAGAGTTAGCCTTTATATATGAGACACTTTGTAAACAGGAAAGTTTGAAGGCCAGACTGTAAGGTTTGGATTTTATCCTCTTGGCAGTGGTTAGCCACGGAAAGTTTTTGAATAAGAGGCTGACAGGCTCTCAGTGGTACTGAAGGTTGGGACAGAAACTTACACTTGAAGGCTACATTCTATGTTTTAATACACCACGTAAACCTCAACCAGAATTTACCTGCAGTGTGGGGGATGGAAGTCAGATGAAGGCAATAGCAGTGGTTTTAGGAATAAGGTCATACACACTTGAGTTAAAGTAGGACAGATAGGAAGGAGTAGGATTCGAGAGTGTGCTCCCAAAAGGGGGATGGGAGGGGTAGTGTTGGAGGAAAGTCAAAGGTTTCTGCAGACCATAGAACTAAGGGGCATAGGAGTTTTTGGGAGGGGCAAGTTACAAGATTTAAGAATTCAGGCAGAGTCGTTTTGAAGTTCCACCAAAACAGCCACATGAAAATGTCTCAAAGTTAATAGATTTGCATCCAGCTTTCCAAGAGAGATGATCGAAAAAATTAAATTTAAAATCATTTTGTAAAATTGGTAATTCATGCTCCAAGTGAGTTTCCAAATACAGCATGAGAAAGGGCCACAAGAACAGTTGTGCACCACCCAGAAAACACACAGCAAGACTGAGGAGGAGTCAGAACTCTAATCTGCAACCCAAGAAGAAATGGTTTTGAGGTCCTACTATGTGTCAGACAACATGCTGATTACTGAGGATGCATCGCTGAGTAAGGTGTTGATCCTGCTCTTAGGGAGCTCAGGGTGTGTAAACCCCCCCCCCCCAATGCCTTTTATCCTTAAGGATGCTACTAGAGATGGTGAGTACAATTGATCATTAAAATGTCACTGCCTACCTTCAAGAGTGGCACTAATCAAAAGAAAGAAGAGGACTGCTAATCAGAAGCATGTCAGGGAGAAAGTGGGAGACAAAGTGTCTCAGGGTTTGTGTTTAGATTCTGCCTTTGCAAAGGTGCCTGGGTTGTGCCTGGAAGCAGCTGCCACAGACAGGGAGAGGTTTTCAGTGAAGTGCAGGGAGGGAAAGGAGCCCAAGAAGAAGAGGGAATTGGAGCCATTGGAATGGGGGGCTGAGGACATTTTGGAAGTGAGCAACTACCCATTCTTAGGAAGTAGAGTCACAGTGAGAGAATGGTACTGTTTTCCTCAAGTCAGCCCTTGAGACCGAAGAATGACAGAACAAAGTGGGGCCAGCAGAAGGTATGGAGGTTCAGAGTCGCATGAGGCTGCCCTGTGAAGGAGTAACCAGGCGTGAAACTGACTGTGTGGCCACCTGGAGTATATAGTTGGTTGCTGTGCAGCAGCATTTCTCTTCGTTTTATGGTGACACTCCATGTTCTGAAGACGCTAATTCATGAAACCCTGTGGTGGTTCATGCCCTTTTAACTTTACCATCTTCTGAGGAGGGTGAAGGCAGGCATGGAGGCATGGGGCTAAATACTAGGACCTAGCACATAGGCCCTAGCCACTGCAAATTGCCCAACAGGTTGGGCTTCTAACATGGGAAACCACATTTCATAACTTCATGCTTCATTCATATTGTTTGCCTTTGATGACGTTTCAGTGCTTCTCACTCAGATGGTGTCTCTTTCAGTTTCCCGTGGGCCGCATCCACAGACATTTGAAGACTCGCACCACAAGCCACGGAAGGGTTGGTGCCACCGCGGCCGTGTACAGTGCCGCAATCCTGGAGTACCTCACTGCGGAGGTGCGTCGGGGTGTTAGACATGGGAGTCCAAAAGTTTTAGAGTAGAAAAGGCTGGAGCCATGGAAAATGGGTTTGAAACAAAAAAGACTCAGCCTTTTTAAAAGCACTTTTAGATATGTCTTCATCAACTTATTACCCTGGACCACTGTCAAAAAGAACCTTGGTGCATCTCGTTTTTAAAGTTAAACAATGGTTGGCAATCCATGTTTTTAAGTGACTGCTGAAGGAGTGTAAAAATTAAAATACTATATACTATCAAGTGAACTCTGAAGTCACATATAATCAGAAGTTACAGCATAATCTCTTAAAGATTTGGGGAGGGGGAACAGCTTGCCAGTGTGGCTATACCTTTTTGAAAATCACAAATATATGAGCTTTGACAAAAGACCTAACTGATCATTCTAGCTCAGTGCATGGTTGTATGCATTCTGTGCTATATTGTGCTCAGTTTTCACTTTTCAGAAAAATGAGTTACTTGGGCAGGAGGTTTTAATTAGGGGGTTATGGACCCACCACTGCTCCACCCCAGTGCCTGCTGGGGAGAACATGGGTGGCCACGTGTAGAGGCAACCAACCTGGTGGAAGCACAAGGAAGGTTTTTACTTGAGAAAGATTCAGGTTCAGTCTGCATGTTAATGATCTTTCGCTGTCATTTCATTAACCTCACCAGGTCATTGGTGTCCCTTTGGAGATTTAAGATTAAATTACCAGGAATTGCAGCCTTGCCATGTCATGAACCAGGGGTTTCTCTTTGGCACTGAGGTGCTGGTTGAGCACCTCCCTTACTGGCCTCATACCAGTTTTTGGTTAGCATCATACTGTGCAGAAAGGTGTGCTTTTCATCCACTTGTGGAGGCATAGTCTTCTGGCTCAGGATGTTAGAGTCCTATTTGAACTCCCATTTTCTTTATTCTTGAAAACTTTGATGATAATTTATTAAGGCACAATTAGGTAGTAAGCCTGCAAGCAGTCGACATGTTTTCAGATATGTAAGTTTGGGGTTTTCATCGTTATTAGAGGTGAAGGAAATAATTTAGTCACTAGTAGAGATAATCACTTTCCATTCTGGCTTCCTGCTAGGGTCACTCAGGAGCTTTCAGAAGACACTGGTGCCAGGCCAGCGAGAGTTCCCAGGGAGAAGGAGTGGGTTCTGGTGGGCTTTAAAGCACACCAGTCACTTCAGATACACACCGAGGATTCTGCTGCTCTGTTTAAGGGTGGAGGTTCTGTGGAGTTACATTGTGTTCCATCCAAGGTTTTATAATGCCATGTAGTTTACAGGGGCAAAATAAAAAAATTTAGCCATGGCTGGTGTAGCTCAGTGGATTGAGTGCTGGCCTGCGAACCAGGCAATCAAGGTTCGATTCCCAGTCAGGGCACATGCCTGGGTTGCAGGCCGGTTCCCTGCAGACCAGTTCGCAGCAGGGGACGCATGAAAGGCAACCATACATTGATGTTTCTCTCCCTCTCTCCTTCCCTTCCCCTCTAAAGATAAATAAATAAAATCTTTTAAAAAAAAATTTTAAATGTGCTTCTGTGGCCAGCTGGGACTTCGAAATTCCTCCAGTTGAAAATTTTCATTGTAGAATAGAGGGCTTCTGGTTTATTGTGTACAGATTATAGGGCCTCGTGATGTGTTAAAACCTCTTAAATAAAATTTCTCTATTTATATTTTTTATCTTTTCTACAAGTACTAAGAAATTCCAGCCACTAAGGGCTATACAAAAATAAGACTACACGAATATATGAAAATATATGGTCTTTCTAGATGTTCACATTTAGAATGTTGGCTGAGGAATAATACTGTCCTTTGGCCTTCTTTCTTTTTTTTTTTTTCCCTTATTTATCTATCTTTAGAAGGGAAGGAGAGAAGGGGAGAAATATCAGTATGTGGTTGCTTCTGGTGCATTCCCTGCTGGGAACTGGCCTGCAACCCAGGCATGTGCCCTGATGGGGAATCGAACCGTGATCTTTTGGTTCACAGGCCCGTGCTCAATCCACTGAGCTACACCAGCCAGGGCTGGTCTTCTTTCTATAGAAGTAGGTTTTTGCTCAAGTTTCTAATGCTCTTGTAGGATGTGAATATTAAAAGCCCAAATAAAGTCATGAGAACTCTATAAAACCATTATTAAAATATGAATAAATTATTTTTGGAATTCCTGGGCATTCCTGTGACCTCTCCTCCATGAAGGGTAGGGGTCCTTAGGAAAGACAGAATCTATTATCAAGGGTCTGATTGTTTTTTACATATATTGGATGGAACTTGTTCATATGTTTATATTCTTGCTCAATACCAAATCTGTTGTTGAAGGGATATTAATAAATATCCCAGAATTCATAAAAACACAAAATAGCCCTGCCTGGAGTGACTCAGTGAGTTGAACAACTGGCTGGGAACCAAAGGATCACAGGTTCGATTCCCAGTCAGGGCACCTTGGTTGCAGGCCAGGCCTCCATTAGGGGGCATTCGAGGTGCAACCACACATTGATGTTTCTCTCCCTCTCTCCCTCCCTTTCTCATATATATATATAATCTTTAAAAAGTATGAAAAAGAAAAACATACTGTTGGTTTCTGTATTTTTGTGTGCATTTTATGCATAGATGCTATAGTGATCTTTTTAGCTGTAATTGCTAGTCCACAATGAATCCTTCTGCATTTCACCCTTTGTTTGATGTGCTGTCTCACTGGTGCTTTGTAGGTGCTGGAGCTGGCAGGTAATGCCTCCAAGGATCTCAAAGTGAAGCGGATCACTCCACGTCACTTGCAGCTTGCGATCCGTGGTGATGAAGAGTTGGATTCTCTTATCAAAGCTACCATAGCTGGGGGTGGTATGTATTATGACCTCTTTAGCCCAGATTGGTATTGGCTTTTCTAACTAATAAATAATTCAGGTCAGTGATCCAGCGCATTTCCTCAGCCAACTGGGAAACTTACAAACTTAAATTCTGTAAGTGTCAAGTTTTATTACAGTTCTAGGCTTTTTATTACCATTTGAATAAATATTTTTCTCTGTATAGCAAGTCCTTATCTAAATTTCATACATATTTAAAACCTGGTGTTGAACATATTTCTCATGTTCATTGTCTATATTTGAAAAATGACCTTGAGAAATTGCTTTATATGATGCCCTTGAAAATCAGGGCTGAGCCCTGGCTGGTGTAGCTCAGTGGATTGAGCACAGGCCTGTGAACCAAAGGATTGTGGTTCGATTCCCAGTCAGGGCATATGCTTGGGTTGCAGGCCAGTCCCCGGCAGGGGAGGCATAAGAGGCAGTCAAACATTGATATTTCTCTCCCTCTTTCTTTCCTTTTCCCTCTAAAGATAAAATATGAAATCTTAAAAATAAATTATTAAAAAGGCAAAATCAGGGCTGAGTGAATGTCAGAGGTAATTTGGTGTCTCTTAACCCTTTTTTGGAGAACCTTTAAAGAACTTCCTAAAAGCTGTGGTTACTCTTCTCCCAAAAAGCACATAAAATCAGCTCTGGCCAGTGTGGCTCAGTTGGTTGGAGTGTTGTCCCAGAACTGGAAGGTTATAGATTCAGTTCCCCACATGGGCACAGATGATCCCAGGTCCGAGCATGCATATAGGAGGCAACCAGTCAGTGCTTCGCTCTTGTGTCAAAGTTTTTCTTTTTCCCTTGTCAATGAAGGGAGAAATCAATGAAAAAACATCCTCAGGTGAGGATTTAAAAAAAAAAAATTTAAGCCCATAAAATCACATCATTTTACATACAACCCTAGAGGAGTTCCCAGACCCCAAGGTGGGGCCCCCCCTTGGTGTGGATATTTAAACAAGGTTAGTCATGAGAGGAGACTTAATTAAATCCCATTCTTTGTATAATTGCTCTTTTTGGTTTGAGGCACCAAAATGGTCAGATACAATCAGCTTAATGTTCTTTTTAATAGTAACACCTTCCGCTCTGGCTGGTGTGGCTCAGTGGATTGAGTGCCAGACTGTGAAGCAGAGGGTCACTGGTTCAATTCCCAGTCAGGGCACATGCCTGAGTTGCAGGCCAGGCTCCCCAGTGTGGGGAGTGCAAGAGTCAACCATACATTGGTGTTTTCCTCCCTGTCTTTCTCCTTCCCTTCCCCTTCGTCTAAAAATAAATAAATGAAATCTTTAAAAAAATAACACCTTCCTTTCTGTCTTACCGTAGGTGTGATCCCTCATATCCACAAGTCTCTGATTGGAAAGAAAGGGCAGCAGAAGACTGCTTAGAAAGTCGTCCTAACCAGCCCACTTACTCCCACCACCGTGCTGCAACCAGGACAGGAGATAATGGGGATATGTGGAATTTTAAACACAGGAAGTGGAAAAGCATAGACAATTACTGTAGACATGGTAAAGGAGACATTTGTACGTTCTTAGACTCAGAGTTTGATAAAAGTACCTTTTCACGTGTCAGCAGTTGTGTGTTGATTGGCTGGGTTTTTCCCATGGGTTTTATACAAAAATGGAATTGATAAACCATTTTTTACAAAAATAATGTGTCTCAAAACTGTTCTGTTTGTGATGTGTTGGAAATAGTTTGCTCAACTTTGAAATTTTTAAAAATTTCATATTGGTTACATACTCAAAGTAATCTTAAATAAGAATTTGGGACTGTAGTTTGACCATAGTTGACAACAATACTTTATTGAATCTTAGATGCTATCCGTTTCTAGTATGTACCATTGCTTTACATACTGCTAAAGAAAGAAAAACTGCTTGTTTTTCTTGATATGCCATTAATAACAAGATCCATCCCAATCTCAGAGATGTTAGAATGTGCACTGACATAGATAGGTACTTGTTGGAATAGGCCCTGGCTGGCTCAGTGGATTGAGTGCTGGCCTGTGAACCAGAGTCGTGGGTTCCATTCCCATTCAGGGCACATGCCCAGGTTGTGGGCCAGCTCCCCAGTAGGGGGCACAAGAGAGGCAACCACACATTGATGTTTCTCTCCCTCTTTTTCTCCCACCCTCCCCCTCTCTAAAAATAGTTGGGTTTTTTTGTTGTTGTTTTTAAAAGAAATGTTGAAATAGGCTAGCAGAATTATTTGTTTTACTGAGTGGCAGGCCCTGTGCTAAGGCCTTCACTGACCGAGGAATTTTACTGCCCCCACTTTAGAGATGTGGAACCTGATGCTCACAGAAATGAAATGGTTTGCCAGGAAACATCGATTTGGTCGACAGAAGGTGGCAGAGCTGAGATACAAACCTAGATATGCCTGACTTTAGAGCCCACACGCTTACGTAGAATTGAAGTTACACTTGGCTTGGAATTCAAACTTCCAGTAGTCTTTTATTGATACAGTAATTTGTACAATATTTTTAATTATTTTTCTTTGTCAGCTTCTAAGTAACTTGTAAAATTTAGGTTAAGGTACCAGTTAGTCATACTTAATATAATATTTTTATGACTGGAAGACCTCATTAAAATTTTTTTAAATGTTTTTAATGCAACACTATCAAAATAACTCATTTTTTAAAACTTATGCTACTGTGGTAATTTTCAAAACTATAGAATAAAGAGAATAGTATAATGGCCCCCATGTACACAGCCTCCAACTTCAGCAGCTGTCCTGTGGTCAGTTAGGTTTTACCTGTCTTTCCCCCACCAGCCCACCTCCTAGTGGAGCCATGTGAACCCCATTTCAAGCTGATTTACTTTGATGTCTGCGGACGTCAACGTGTCTCTAAAGATGAGGCACTTTTTAGACCATAACCCAGTATCATTGTAAGACAACTAGCATATTTCATAGTACCAAACATCACACACATTTCAGTATGCAATTCCCTAATTGTCCCATATTTGTATTCAGTTTGTTTGAACCAGAATCCAGACAAGATTTGTATCTTACACTTTGTTGATATCTCTTGTTTCTTTTTAATCTATAAGTTTCTCTTCACTTTTTGTTTTTCTTACAATTTTTGAAAAAAAAAGTCCTATAGAATTACCTTTAATTGTAGATTTTACTGAATGCATCCTAGTGCTATTTAATTTTCCCCCGTTCCCTATATTTCCTATAAATGGCTCTAGAGGGGTGTTTTATTGCATTTTGCCGTTCACAAAAATAACTCCTAGGTGACACTGCACTTCGAAATTTTGTCACACACTGGTGAGGGTCACCTCGTTTCCCCTTCCTTCCTGTGTCTCACCGGCAGGAGTCTTTGAGGCTTCCTCCCTTCTCTGCACCGTCGAGCGACTCCCCTTCCCTGCAAAGCCCTATAGTGTAAGGACAGGAGCGCACTGCCATACCGGGTTGCATCCCACCTGTAACGGGGCAGTGCTGCTTCAATTGCATCATGGCTCCGTGTAATTTAGGGAGCCCTGCCGGGCCACCTGGCCTCCATACAAAACGTGCGTAGGCGCCACAGTGAGACAAGAACCAATCAACGCCTCCGTCCGCGTTGGGTGTTGGCAGCTCGTGCTCCCATCCATCAAGGTCCTACCCAGTGGGTGCCCTCCAAGCAACTTGAGAAGGTAGAAACAAGACCGGTATCCATAACTCCGTTATTCCGGAGTACTCATGAACAAATCTGCCAACCAATCACAAACCGTGGTCCCCACACAATGGCTTCCCCAAAGCAGTCCTCATCTGGACCTTACACGGCCTTACCGTAAACCCGGTTTCTTTTCACCAGCCAGGCGTGTTTAGGCAGCCGGCACCTGCAGCGGGCACGCAGAGGAACCCCCAGAGACTGGAAAGCCCACTCAGGGTCGACCAGGCACAGGAAGCCAGGGCCGCACCAGTGACCACTGCTGTGACCAAACAGCAAGTGGGATCCTGCTGCCTGCTGCCACCCTCCAAAATTCCAGAGGCAGAGGTTTGGTGACAAAGGAAAGGAGTCTTTATTCAAAAACTTAACAATTTTGGAATAACAGCTTTCCACGTGCATTAGTCACTTAAGCCTATCAAAGCGAAACTCTTAACTAGTTACAGCTTCGATCACTTAAGCCTATCAATTAAGGCTAAGCTCTAACACCTGCGTTCTAATATTCCCCGGTTAGTTTTTAATTATCTTGTTTCTATAGGCTTAGTTTACAAACTACAACATAAGATACAACAGCTACACAGTGTGGGGAGAAGGGCAGGCTTCTGCCTCAGAGCCTGTCCCCTCTAGTGTTCCTGAAGAAGAACCCCCGCTGCCCTGTGCCAGGCCAGCAGGAACCTAGGCTGTGCCCAGAGTTCCTTCAATCAAAATTCATCCAAAATCCACCTCAAATCCATCCGAAATACCTTCTGCTGGGAAACGCAGGCAGCTGCAACACTATCCAGACATCCTGAGGAAGGAACCAGAGAGATCCAGTCCGAGAGCCTGAAAGCCTCCCCCCACTCCACCCCATTTCAAACCTTTGTGGCCCATAATTCCACGCGCTCTGGACGCATTCAACTTCTCAGCCAATCCTGTCCTGGGCTATTTACCGTTTCCTGGGGCAACCTCCTCCTAAGGCCCCTTCTCACTCCTCTCCAGTGAGCTGATCCAGACCCCTCCGTATTTTTGTTTCCGCACACGTTTTCAACAAGTTTCTATATTGGGAGGACCCACAGTTATTCCTGCGTGAACTTTTAATCATTTTTGGAAGCCAAAGTAGCAATGGAAAAGGCAATAATTAACAGAGAAGAGGCTTCTTTTACGAGAGTTTTCTAGATCATTGCTGCAAATATCTATTTCCTTTTGGTAGTGCAGTTATTTGACTACTGCGTCCCCAGGATTGTATTTTTGTTTTGTTTTCTACCGAAGGGGAAAAAAAAGCCAAGCACCTGCGCCTGTGCTCTGGGCCTCACCCAAACTGTCCATCTTGCTGCATCAGTACCTGCCCCCTCCTCTAAAGCATGGCGTGGCCATTATATTTCCTCTGTAACACTTGAACAGGTGTCCTTAAAAGAAAGCTTTTTAAAAGGACGTTTTTTTAATATTCAAAGAGCCCCCCCCACCCCCAGCTAAGCTGTGAAATTGTTATAGGATAATTCCGGAGCTGCAGCTGCACTTTCAGTAGCATTCATGTGTGTGGTAGCACCTCAGAAAGGGGAGTCTTTTTCTTTTTAAGATTTTATTTAGAGGGGAAGAGAAGGAGAGAGGGAGAGAAATATCAATGTATGGTTGTCTCTCATACATTGTGCATCCCCTGCTAGGAACTGCCCTGCAGCCCAGGCATGTGCCCTGACTGGGAATCAAATGGTAGTTGGTTAGTTTGCAGGCCCATGCTCAATTCACTGAGCTACACCAGGGGAGAAGGGAAGGTCTTTAAACATTAGGCCTGGAAGGAGCATTTGGGGAAGGCCAGTGCTGTCACAGCATGACAGACATCCAGGACAGGAAAGATGGTGTGTGCAGGGGCTTACAACAACTGAGGAGCATGTGGCTTGAAGGGATGGGAAATGCCACACTGCTGGCTTTGGGGCCTGTGGCTGAATTCACTGTGATGGTTCTTTCTTTCTTACAGTGTAATTGCATAGATTATATTAGTTTCAGGTGCACAACATAATGACAATATCTGTATGTATTGCAAAATAGTTGTTAATATCCATCATAAGTTTTCCTGTGATAACTGTTTTAATTTTTATTTATTTATTTTAGAGAGTGGTGCAGGAAAGGAGAAAGAAAAGGAGAGAAATATTGATGTGTGAAAGAAACATGCATCAGTTGCCTTTCTCACACCCCCCAATCAGGGACCTGGCCAGCAACCCAGGCATGTGCCCTGACCGGGAATCAAACTGGTGATCTCTGGGTCGTAGAAGGATGCCCAGTCCACTGAGCCACACCAAATCAGGGCTTCCTGCAATAACTTTTAAGATCTATTCTTACCAAAAAAAATTTTTTTAAGAATATAAGAGTTTATTTGAATCAAACCGACCAAACCGATCTTGCTGGGGAGCAAGATCTCAAATGTTCCGGAAATTAACAGTTTTGCAGCTTCTTTCATGTATTTGAGATTAAGGATGGATCTTAGCAACTTTCAAAATATGCAGTGGAGTGTTAATAACTATAGTCACTCTGCTGTCCACCCTATCCCATCGCTTATTCGTTTTACAACTAGAGGTTTGTACCTTTTGACACATTTCACCCTCCACCCATCACCAGCCTCAAACCACCAACCTTCTCTATCTATGAACTTGGGTTTTATTTTAAGATTTTATTTATTATTTTCAGAGAGAGGGGAATAGAGGGAGAAAAAGAGGGAGAGAAACATCAGTGTGTGGTTGCCTCTCAAGCACCCCCTACTTGGGACCTGACCTGCAACTCAGGCATGTGCCCTGACTTGGAATCAAACTGGCAACCCTTTGGTTCATAGGCTAGCACTCAATCCACTGAGCCACACCAGCCAGGGCTATGAGCTTGGTTTTTGTTTTTGTATTTCAACTTGTTTAACTTGATTTAAAGTTGAGAATCACGTTATTTATAATTCAAGCACTTCCCCTGACAATGAAGGGGTTGGCAAAAGTAGATTCACAGTTGTGAGTATGCAAAACAGTTTATTCTTTTTTTTTTTTTTAAAGAT